GTCCTGCCGGCTCTGAAGTCTTAGAGGTTACAAATCAGATGCCTTCTGTGCCTATCACGAGATGGGCCCCCGAAGCATGTGATGTGGGTAGTTTGGGTCCATCTTTTGCTATGGGAAGACCTAGCTCCTTTCCCCCACTGCGTGCTTGAGGGAGGCTTGGTATCTCCTGATGTATTGAGTAGTCTCCCTGCACCCCCGCCTGTACCCATTCCTCTGCCTCCTTCTCCAGATCGACCCTGCCCCACATCTGTTTTGCTCTCCCCCTGTTGCAGTGAACGTTGCTGGCGTATCTGTCCATCTCCATACCATCTCCTGCATGCCAGGGTTCATCACCCCTATCTTGGGGTGAGCAGTGGTAGCAGCATCCGCCCTCTTCCCCTCTCCAGACCTGGTCTTGCAGCAATGGAGAGGAGAAGCTGGGCAGAAGGCACCTAAGCAGGGCAGGGCAAGAGGGGCTTGCAACCTCCTTGAACTTCCTATGAAAACAATATTGGCTCCTCCCGAGGGGAAGAGCTCAGACCAAAACCCACAAGCACCCCAACTGGCTGCTCTTCCTAGGAGGTGGGAGAGCAGGGTTATCTTTCCCCTGAACTCATCAATAAGGTGGAGCTCCTGCCTTCAGCAAGAGACTGGCACCAGACCTGGCACCCAAAGAAACCACAAGAACCAGGAGCACCCTGCCTATTGCCCTTCTGACATCAACGGAGTCATATCTGGGGGCAACTGCTTCATGCACGATGCGCCAGCTAATAACGGGAGTCCTTTGTTCATATTAAACTCATTTGGCTCTGTTTTAAAGCTGCTGGATGTGAAGGTGCTTCGGTTCATCGTTCCAGCTGGTGGAAGATTCAGAGCTGCTGTTTCTCAGGAAGTGTCTCAGGTCTATTAAAAATGCACGGGAGGTCTTTAAATACTGAGCGGATTGCATGGGTGGTATTGTGCAACTACCTGCCCTGAAGGTTTAAATAACGAAAGACATGAGTCAGACCCTGAAGCACGTGCAATTGGCTCCAAATTATGAGGTCGTTAAAAAAAAAAAAGAAAAGGAAAAATGATGACGTTGGGTTCTTTGCACTGGCCTGCTGATTTTGGAGTCTGTTCTCAGGCTTTTCTCTGCAACGCGAAGGCGAGACAATAACTACCAGATGTATTCACATAGCACCCGCCAATAAGACAGGCATCTTGTTTTGGGAAAGCAGAATGAAGTGAAAAAGATAGTTTTCCTTTTAACCAGATTGTTCAGTGTTCTTGACTAAGACCCAACTTTCCATAGCTAATGTTTGGGGAAAAGGTGAGTGGGGTCTGTGGAATAAGGTCTTTTTCTTCATGAAAGTCTCAGCCTGCAGGAAATGACATGACTCCAGGAATAAGAAGAACCCTGGGAAATCACAAGAGCTGGTGACTGTGTTTCCCACCCCCAGTTTCATTTCCCAATATCTAGGACAATTTATCATTCAAGGAATATTTTTAGACTTTGAAAATGTGCCCAAGGGAGGGACATATTATTCTTTACAGAGGCATGATATTGGCACCCACACATACACATGTACATGCGCATGCACACCTAAGGGAATAAAAGAAATTCCATCGGTACAGAAATCAGCATCCTGCCCTGCCTCTTCCTTCCAACTCAAGATTCATGTGGACCTTATGCAAGAGGACGGAGAGGCTGAGTTATAACCAAGTCTATGGGTGGGTTGAAAAAAACAGAGTCAACGGGCTTCTCTGGAGAACTTGCTCCCCGCAGCAGGCAAAGGTCTACGACTGTGGTTATTTCTTTGTATCACGGTGGAATCAAGAGTGCTCACCTGAGCTCGGGGTCCCTTGTGTGTTAGAAGTTGCTTGAATACTCGGTGGGAGTGTCTAGACATGCACTTACACTGGCTTAAATTTACTGCACAGTAAGTCACTGTGCAGTAAGTGGGAATAAGCCGGTGTCTACACATGCAGGCGTTAAAGTGCATTAACACTGATTGTGGACTGACTTGGGACTAAAGTTAGTCCCAAGTCAGTCCGCACGCACACTGTTACTGCACAGTAAGCAGGAATAGGCTGATGTATACCCCGGCAGGCATCACAGCGCATGAACCCGGAGTGTGGACTGACTTGGGACTAAAGTTAGTCCCAAGTCAGTCCGCACGCACACTGTTACTGCACAGTAAGCAGGAATAGGCTGATGTATACACATGCAGGCATTACAGTGCATTAACACTGAGTGTGGACTGACTTGGGACTAAAGGTAGCACAATGTTACTGCGCAGTAAGGCATCTACACATGCGTTACTGTGCAGTAACTAATCAGGTGTAAATTTGATACCTGCACAATGCCAGTATCAAATTTATGCTCGAGCTGGCAGAAGTCACCATTTTTACTGTGCAATATGGGTATGAGCATGTAGGCACGTACCCGTACTGTGCAGTAATTTTGGTCACTGTGCAATAAATGCGCATGTGTAGATGCGCCCAGTGAGTGGTGCTACCTGCTTGGAAGATCTTGAAGGCTGAGGATTAGGATTAGGGTAAGGGTTAGGGTTATTCCAGGTCACTAGGAAGTTAGTGGAAGTTGTCTTCATTTATTACTGGTATTTTTATTACTGTAGTACCTAGAAGCACTTGTCTAAACTCAAGCCTTAGCAATGAGGTTGTCTTCCTTGAGGACGGCCACTATGAATCTGTAAGACCAACTGGACACAACCATTTAGGGCTCTGTAGATCAATAGGGGCATGCTAAAATCTGGCTTGTATAGAGGGCACTGCTGTAGTCTGCTCTAGAAGGCAGTGATTCAGTGGACCACTGGCAGTGATTTTTTCTCATGCTTGATTTTTATCTGTGTTGCAAGAAAAATCATATCTGGTTATGTCAAGCTGACCAAACTCCCGGAAGTCTTTTTGAGATGACTCAGAATTGGCAGTGATTGTGGCCTGAAGTTAACCCCAGTAAAATGCCAGGGAACACGGCACATTTAAAACAATGGCACAATAGAACTATACAATAAAATATTAACGTGGTAATTTTTGGGAGTAATTACTTTGGGGATGGGAAAATAACAGGAAAATATGCTCAAGGTGCAAGGATGTGCTATTGTTTTTTAGGATCTATGAGCCAAAATATTAGATAACAAGCTTGGCTAGTATTGATAATGTTGACGTCACTAATGGAAACAGCCAAAGCAGGTAAAGTCAGGGTTCACTGTTTGCTATGTGCTATCTGAACCGTTTGCATGAGTTTCTGAGGGAGACATCTGCATGAATCTCTAAGGGAGGACCAAGCCTTCAGAACAAGATTGCAACCCAGGAAGCTTTCTGGTGCATCCCTCCCTGGCCATGATGCTCCTGCTGGGACTTCAAGCTGGGGGATCCTGGCTAGAGGGTCTTGCCCCTCCACCCAGGGTCAGACTGATGCCAGATTTGGGGTCAGGAAGGAATTTTTCTCCCTGGCCAGATTGGTACAACTGGGGGGGGGCGCAGATAGGGGGCTGCCCTCCTGTGTAGTGGATGCATGGCCCCCATCTGGGATCTCTTGAGTGCATATTAGCAACCTTTTGCAGAAGCAAGACATTGACTTCTGTGGTTCCCGGCTCTACCGGTGGCAGGTTTGGGTGTGATAACTTGTGTTGTGTCAGAGTTAACTATGTAGTTTTGCCAAGAAGTTAGATTATGGATTTGTCTGGGATGGTTTGGAGAGGGATGATGCTGCCTCAGACAGGGATTGGACTAGACATGAGCTCTGGAGGTCCCCTCCAGCACCACTTCTCCATGAGTCTATGGTTTGATGACTGCAGATACGTGTCTGCCCAACCAGGCCTGGATCAAGCGACTGGCCTGATCCCAGAGACGTTACCTAAGTAAAAGCTTTGACAAAGCAACTACTTGGGTGGAGGAAGGAAATGCTGTGGACACCGTATCTGGATTTCAGCAAGGCTTTTGACAACATCCCAAATGACCTTCCCATAAACAAATTGGAGAAATGTGGGCTGGGTAAAACTAGTACAAGGTGGATAGATAACTGGCTCAATAGCCATAAGCAAAAGGAAATTATGAACAAGTCCATGTCAACATGGCACGAGGTTTCGAGTGGAGTCCCAGAGAGCTCTGTCCTGGGCCTGGAGCTGCTCAACATACTTATGAATGATTTGGCTGCTGGCATAGAAAGCTTCTTGAACAAATTCATAGATGACACAAAACTAGGAAGGACAGTGCACACATTGGAGGATGTGAAAGCGATTCAGAAGGATCTTGACAAATTGGAAAGTTGGACAGAGGGTAACAGGATGAAGTTCAATGGGGACAAATGCAAATTGCTACACCTTAGGAATAATAATAATAATAAAAAAATACAAAATAAGGACACCTGGCTGGATGGCAGCTCTGTGGAAAAGGACTTGGGCGTCTTGGTAGACCATAAAGTCAACATGAATCTGCAGTGTGATGCAGCTACACAAAAGCCCAATCCAGTTTTGGACATCATCAATATAAGCACAAGGTGCAAGACTTGGGAGGTTATGGAGGGTCTTGCCCCTCCACTCAGGGTCAGACTAATCACCATATTTGTGGTCAGGAAGAAATTTTACCTCGTGCTCAAATTGGTATGGACTATGGGTTTTTTTTTTTTGCCTTTCTCTGTACCTGGGGGCATGGCCCTGTACTCAGGACCTCTTGCATGTATGTGGACAATGTAGTATAGAAGCAGGAGTGGTTCCTCTGCGTTACCTGTGGCAGGTTTGGGTGTTTGGTCTCTGCTGTGCCAGGGTTGAGGGTAGTCTTACATAGAGTTTAGAGTAGGGTCATATGGGATGGTTTGGATAGGGAGGATCCTTCTCTGTGATTCTGTGTCAAAGCACCAGATATAAGGAACTGCTGGGAGCTTCCACTCCGCATTGCACACCCATCCTATCCCCCTGAGGGCAACACAGGTTGTGATGACAACTCCCCTCCCACGCAGATTGCACACCTCTGGAAAAATGCGGTGCCTCAGCCCCAGTAGGACCCCGCCTTCCCCATTCCTGTCTCCACAGTCACCAAAGCAAAATGCAAGGGGACGTATAAAATCACCCAGGGGAAGGATCTCATTCTGGGCCGCTGAGAACAACCTGGGACGATGAGGACTACCTTGGTGGTACTGCTGGCCGCTGCCCTGTGTATGGGGCAAGGTGAGTCATCCTTTGGGCAGAGGGAATCCAGATGTGGAAGGCAGCCTAGCCAGGGGGTAACAGCTGGAATAGCTGGGGCGGTCATAGCAATAGCAGTGGAGATACCAGAGGGAATGAAGCTGCCAGTTTGACCCCATTTTCAGTTTCTTTGAGGATCTTAAGGAAATAGGGCTGGAAAAGATCCCTCGAGGTCATCTAGTCCAGCAACTTGCTCAAGGCAGGATTATCCCTCATTAAACCATCCCAGCCAAGTGTTTGTCCAACCTGCTTTTGAAAACTTTCAAGGACGGGCTAGTTCTTTCAGTAGAGGATCCTGGTGTGAACAGTAGAATAAGTGTGTCTTTTTTGTTGGGTTTTTTTTTTTCGGTTGAGCTGGATGCATTTCCCCAAATATTATCTCCTGGACTAGGTAACCTGGGTAAATTTCCAAGAGAAGACTGAGGGAATGTCTTGGCTATCGAGAAAGGCTTGTTCCTGACTCAGGTTGGCTGCTTCAAGTCAGCTACCTCAGGGTATGAGAGCACTGAAAGCAAGGTTATGGGGCTTTTAACCTGGATTAAGAGATCAAGCTGGAGCTAATAGGGGTACTTGAGTTTAAACTCAAGCTGCTAACCTAGATTCAGAGCCAAGGTGCCTTCACTGGTGGTTTAGCCTGAGATCAAAGCATACTTTCCTTTAGCAATGATGAGAGATGACACGCGTGATCCAAAAGCCAATGGAAGTCAAAAGAAAGACCATCATTGACTTCTTTGGGCTTGGACTACGGCCCCTAGAGCCTTGTCTAACATCATAAAAGCATAAATTGTTGCTAATGATTGTGGAACGGCCTATTTGGTAAATAGTGAGTGTGGGCAATATCTTTATCTCCCACCTGTGAAAGAAAGGGGAGGCTGATTTTTCTCCAACTGTTGCAGTCCTGGACCGCAGGACCATCTTGTTTCATTTGATTTTGCTAACTCGAACAGGTTCCCCACCCCTTATGCAGCATCAGGGGGCGGTTTTAACCTGCTGGTAGACAGGAGCAGTGGTGCGATGTGTGGGTTGTGCAGGCGAGAGGGAGTTCAGGAGTAGGACCATCACCCCCCTCTACCTTGCACCAGTCTGGCACTTGCACACTCCCCTGGCTTTGGAGGCCCCGCCCCAGCTGTGCAAGAGGCCAACCCAGTGGGGAACCAGTAAGAAGAGCTAAATCTTTACATGCATTCATCCAACCTGCTTCACTCCCTAGCTCACGCTCTCTATTGCTTCACCTGTGAATGGGAATCCAGCAACTGGAAATGTCTGAACTTGACAAAGTGCGCGGATGAGGACGCCTTCTGTGTGACGAGCATAGCCGCTATAGACGTCGGTACGTGTCGGGGTCCCCGGTGCAGGGTTTAGGGGGTTTTATAAGGGTCAGGGGAAGTGGCAGGCGCAGAGAACAGCCTGTTGGGAAGGCGGAGAGGATCTGGAGCAGCTGACAAGACCCCAAACTTGGCAAGGCTTGAAATTCAGGGGCAGGTCCCAAGGGCTTACGACTATCCCCCGGAGGATCCTGGAGATGCGATCTCCATCCAGGTGTGACCTCTGTCACCTGGGCAGCATCTCACCCAAGATAGTGCTCAGAAAAATCAATCCTGAAATGCATTGAATACCTGCCACACAAGTCTCTGGTCCCAGCAGGGACCAGCATCAGCAACGCCTCGCAGGGGGCTACTGATACTTGTGCCATGGGCCAATATCTCCAAAGTCTCTATCCCATTGCAGAACCTGCTGGTACCAATGGAGATTCCCCTTGACTGTTCAGGACCTCAGGGCACAGGGAAACACCCCTAAATAACCATTCTTTCTTCTCTCTCCCATGGTTAAGTTGGCTGGAAACTGGGGAAGAAGATCAACAAGAAATGCTCCCCTCACTGCCCAGACTCCAACGTGCACGTGGCCATAGCCTCTTACTCCACATCTTGCTGCAAGTCTTCCCTCTGCAACCTCTTTGCCAACCCGGCATTGAAATCACCTCCGCAGTGAGGCAGGAGGAGAGTTGGGCTCAGAGATGGCCGGCGTCACGGCCAGAAAAGGGCAGGGGTAACACTCAAGGACCTACTCTGATTTCCCCAGGAAGAGCTGGATGTCCTCCATGCCCCGCGATTAAGGAGGCATTGTGTCACTCTGCTCTTGCTTCAGGGCCTCTGAAGACACAGATCCTCTCTTCTTTTCATACTTCGTGCGGTCATCGGGTGCGTCCCCGGGCAGATGCAATGTCTTGCCTCTCCCGAAAGCTCCTGCCCCTTGCAGCCCGGCAAAGCAAGAGGACATCCTCCAGCTGGTGTTATGCAGAGCGTGGCTCCATCCTGCACCCTCTCATGGGAGTCCCTATGGACTATTGCAATATTAGGGAGGATGCTCACCAGGGGATATTGAAGCTTCAAGGGCCAGTTGGGTCCAGGAAACATCTCTTCCCAGTGTCATGCTAGAAAAGAAGCTGCCCTTCAGGAGGATAAGAAGATGCTGAGGATGTCCTCACAACCTTGTGTGCTGCAGCCAGGGGGGTCTCTTGAACCACTGCTGACTGGGCTGCTGAAAAGGCATGGATAAGACTTGGGGAGCCAGAGGGTGAGTGTGCAAGTTGCCCATTGTAATACCAGCAGTGCATACCCTCCCACAAAACGCCAGAGACTTTTGGTTAACATAAAGAGCTTTCCTAAATGTAGACCCGAGAAAGGGCATGTTGTGCTGGAAAGCTTATCTACCATCTCTCCCAGCTATACAGGTGGTCCAATAAAAGATATAACCTCAAAAAACTTTGCTTCTTTACTCAACTTTTAACTTAAGACAGTGTGGTCTTGTGTTTGGCCTTGCCTCTGGGGCTTCAGTCCTTCCCACGGGTGGGTGATCTCCCTCCTGTCTCTATGTACAACACACGCTGGGCATCTTTGTTCCTCTTCCAAAGTGTCTGCTGCTATGCCTCCCATGGCAGGGGTTGTGTTGTGGGTTTGGGTCCCTGAGGCAGGAGACGCTTTTACAAAGAGGTTTCTTTATTTCTGCTAACAGCACACGTGTGCAAGCACGCATACACACATGTATGCATGCACACACACACATGCATACACACCCCCCATCAGACCCTCTCAGCTCCTTCCAATTCCACCTAGCTCCTAAAGACACACAATCCTCACATCTCCCCTTTCCAAGGAAAAGCACTTTCTGTCCCGGTGTGGCTGGGGTGGAGACTGTTCTGACATGGGTTTCTATATCCAGTGGGTTCCTGAGATTGAGAGTGATATAGAGAGAGCAAAATTCATAGATAAAAGCACAGGGTTCTCCCTGGCCCTTTGTAATCCTTTGCTGAGGAAGGGCAGGCCCAGCCTAGACTGCCAGAGAAGCTCCCTTCTTTATGCCAAACTCCTATTCCCTCTCAGCAAACCTCACCCCTAGCTTTATCTGTAAGGAAGTATCTTAAGATCATGGTGCTTCTCAATGTCTTTCTGTATCAAATCATGGAAAATGAAGGTTGAAGGGAGCTCAGGTCATCACATCTAGTCCAATCCCCTGCTCCAAGCAGGACCAGTCCCAGCTACAACATCCCGGCCAAGGCCTTGTCTAGCTGCATCTTAAAAACCTCCAAGGATGGAGATGGAGACTCCACAATTTGAGCACATTACACCTTGTTCTGTCATCTGCCACCACTGGGAATCGTCCAGCTCCATCCCAACTTTTGCTCGGTGGACCAGGCAGCTTCACGCTTTCAATGCAATTTCTGAGAGGTAAAATATCTCAGGGCATGTCTACACGTGCATTTACATGCTTTAGTTAATGTGCATTAAATCTAGTACATCCACTGTGAGGTACAGTAAAATCCCTGTTATCCCACGTGAGTGGGGAATGTGGGGGTACGGGTAATTTAAAAATACCAGTTACCTGAGACACAGGGTTTCCAACTGGACGTGGAGTAGGGGGAGGGGGAGGGGGAGGAAGGATTGGGGTGACCACAGGTGGTGGCGGCCATACAGGGGGTGGTGGTGGGAGCTGCTGCCCAGGGGCATGGGGCTCTGGGCTCTGACCCTGGGCAGGGCAGGAGGGGCCACGGGAATTGCTCCTGGGGAAGGCAGTTCCCAGCTGCACTCTAGCGGCTCCAGCCCTGCCCTGGGCCCTGGAAGCTGTGAGCCCCACTGGCGGGGAGTGAGTGGGAAAGCCTGGTCCTGCTCCCTGCAGCAAGCGCTGCCCCAGATGCTTCACACAGGCCCGTGGGGCTGAAGCCACTGTCTGGGGGCGTGAGGCTCCTGGCTCTGACCCCAGGCGGCTTGGGAGGCGCCAGGGGCAGGGTGGGAGTGCTGGTGCCAGGGTTGGGTCCTCCCACCCCACGTCCAGCTGTACACCACCCCCACCCTCCAAATGCCAGGGCAGCCCAGCCACAGGCTGCTGCAGCAGGGGGGAAGGTTGCGCATGCATCCAGGGAAGAAAGCGCCATAGCAGGTAGGAAAGTGGTGGGGCGCAATGCCACATACGTCCTGCCAGTGAAATTCCAGTTAATAGAGTATTCTGGTTAGTAAAATCCTGGATACCAGGGATTTTACTGTACTGGGAAAATGTGCATTAGCTTGTCTTAATGTGCATTAGCTAAACAGCACAGATTTTAGGTGACGCTTAATTTGCATTAGCTTATTTCAATGTGCATTAACTAAATAGCACTTATACACATGCAGAGAGGCTGCTCTGGCATGCTGTAATTGGAGCATGTCGGAGCAGACATGATTATTTGAGTCTGTGGGAAAGTGGTAATTACCGCACCGCAGCAGACTCCAGCGTCACATGTATCAGTGTCCCTGCTCTGAAAAATGCCGGTGGGGGAACTTTAAATAAAGCTCATTTGACAAGCTTTAGTTAAAATGCCTCTGCTGCCATTTTTCACTGTAGGGATGCTGATACATGTGACACTCCAGGTGCTTTAATTAGAGCGGCTCTTGGAGAGGCTCTAATTAAAGTGTCCCCCCTCTCCCTCCCTGACAGCATGTATAAACACCCATGGTTTTTAATGATGCTTTAATGCACATTATAATAGGTTAATGTACATTAAAACTCACATGTAGACATGCCGTTAGAGGACAGCCCTGCTTTCCCTGAGCACAGCACTATCGCGGCTCCCTGCCTCTGACCTGCACTGCTCATTTCCCCCTGTTGCTCGTCACCTTGACCCTGACTGATGTTTCCTAAGCTGCATGTTTCCAGATAGGCAGCCAGAGAAAATGTTTCCAATTAGCACTTGATGAATCAGAAAAAAGAAAGAAAGAAAGAAAGAAAACAAAAATGTGGCTTCAGCTTGAACAAAACTATTTGCAAATTCAAGTTGAATCAAGGACTCATTTTGGGGGGGAAAAAAAAGGGTGGGAGGGCAGGATTTTTGGGAAATGTCAGGATCATCTCAGCATTTTCCCAGAAGAAACATTTTGTTTTTAACTTCAACATTTCCATCTTGCAAATGACAATTTTGGAGTGAGGCTGGAACCAATTAGAATTTAATTCAATGCTAAAAAGTTTTAAAATGGGGGTGGGGGGACAGAAAATGAAGCAGGTGCTGGTCAAACTCTTTTTCAAGACTCAAATGACAGTTTTGGGAGGGGTTTTGCCTTCATTTGGGCTTCACTGAAAATGCTATTTTTTACTAGTAGACTGTGGTTGCCCCTCCCCTAGAATATAGGCGGCACCCGAGTTCTTCACTCATTTCTCTGCAGCTCCCTTCAAGGGATCTCAGGGCACCCCCGGGTACCCCAGCACCCTGGTTGAGAGCCACTGACTTGGCAATTCCCATCTCGTCTCTCCACCGCCTCCCGAGAAAACACGCCATCTGACCTCCAGCCTGCACCCAGTGCTGGCTTCTCCCTTCAGGGGAGCATGTTATTTTTCTTCTTGAACAAGCCCATCCAGTCCTCATGCATGGGGGGACCTTGTTCAAAAAATTGTCACCTTGCCTGTAAATCCCCCTGGACTGGGTCGAGCGGCAATGTGCTAGGCAGGCACTAGATGTCTCCTTGGCCCAGGAGAGGAGGTCCCTGGTAAACAAGAGAAACAATGAAGGGACCAGAGTTGTGTGCAATCCTATTTCTTTGGACTTTGGGTTATAGCTGGTTTCGTTGCCTTCTCCCAAAGATGGGTTTTGCATCTGTAGCACAGAAATCTTCAGAGATTTGCTTCCTCTGTCATCAGCCTGCGCCCCACTCTGCTCTTTCCCCTTCCCTTGCTCTGTCCTTTCTCTCAGCTGCGCTGTTCTTAGCCTGAGAAACTTTTTCTCTGCAGCTTTTGCCATGCAGAACAACATTGCTTTATGTGCTCCTTAAAACACACACTCTTCTAAGCAGGCATTTGTCTCACCTGAGATGGGTAATGCCTCCTGCTTTAATTTGCTCACTACCCAGTGTTTGCACATTGAATGCATGTCTACGCTACCATTTGGGGTGAATACTAGGACTGCTCTCAAATCCAAATCTGCTGTTTATACTGGAAAGCTTGATCTCTAGTATAAGCTTGATTTCTAGCAACAGTGCACCCTGGCCTTGGATGCGCTGTTGAACCGCAACGCCTGAGTTTGAGCTGCCAGCAGTCCTTCTACAACATCTTGTTCCTGCTTTTAGGCCCTTCTGGACCTGACTTTCTGTCCCTACTGCCCACAAGCAAAAATAAGCACAGAGGGAGAGACAAGGAGAGGACAGGCTGACAGTCAGAAAGTTGCCACTCAGGGTGAGGATGCCCCTTAGGTGCCTCCTAAATATCAGTACAGACATGGCCACTTGCATCCTAGTGCTGTTCATCTCTGTGCACAATACTGTGGACTCTCACTTGTATGACAGATAGTAAATGATGCTGCATTGGACTGAGCGGCTCCTATCCCAGAGCAGATGGGGCTGAGCTATCAGTTATGCCCAGCTCTGCACTGTGGTATGGGCACACCGGGTCTGCTTCATCGCTGCAGAGTGGTTTCTTTTAATTCATCATCAGCATCACATACAGCAACTGTTTTAATCCGATGTAAAAATGCCAGCTCCACGACCAGGCTGTAACTAGCCAGCCTAGGGAGAGCGCAGCAGATGCAAAGCCAGCATAGGGACCACTTCCACTAGCTGCCTCCCTCCTGCACAGGGGATATGCTGGGTCAAGAAAAGGCAGCTGTAGCTCCTCACCCTCAGACAGGCCATAGCAAGCCATAAATCAGAGCGGTCTCTAGGCTGCTCTACTTCACACAAGGGGCCACAGCTGAGCTCATGACATTGAAGAACTGTAACCAGCCTCAGGACATCCACGCGTGCTGTCTGCGCCGAGTGGCGATGGCCATAGAGAAGCCCATAAGGTCTGTGTTTCAACTGGCATGGAAAAGGACCCAGGCCTAGGTCCCAGGAGAGCTGGGCTGAATCTGACTCTGCTCTCGGGCACATCTCGGTTGCCGGTTCCCCGTCCATGATGCGTTTCAGTGGGGCTGGGGAGTCGCATATGCCTCTTGCTGGGTTTCTGCACGTGGGTGCATTCATTTTGA